CATTTATAAAATATTATTCTCACGTGAACCTTTTCCATTAATGAATGCGATAATTAAAAGTATTTTCCTTAGAGAGGACAATGAAAATGATAATATATTCATTACAATAATTACAAATGCAGAGGAAGCTTTAGGAAAATCTGCTCGATTAGATGTTATTAATAAATGTTTCAAACACTTGGATACAGATATGGCAACATTATGTTGTGATGTCATCGAACAAACGTTCTTTATGGATTTTAAATTAGAAAAATTTAATTTAGATTATTTGGATCATGCCCTTCGAGTTTTACCTAGACAAGATGGACCAGCATTGCAAAAAATAACAGTTATCGCTTTACTTAAAGAATTTGTTCGTCGAATCTGGGATAGTTTACTTCTAGAAGATAAAACTAGTGACAAAGTTGAATTGGATAATGATAGAATAGTCGACCAAATTAATAATACTATGAATTTCGCTCATCCCTTGATTCATTCTCTCAAAATTTACTTTTTAAGAGATTTACGACAAAGAGTTTTTTCAATTGATGAAGTTAGACTATTTTGCGAAGTTCAGAACGATGTTTTACCTTGGCTTGGAACTTTTAATTGGGAAGGTATCAAAGAAAATCGAATGCCTTTAAATCCATACTGCGATCTTCCCGAATATAACGAGGGCTGAAAAATGTTTTACGAAATTCTATATTATGGGTAATAAAGCACCTTTCCAAGCATTCATACGAGAAATAAAACAAAAAGATACCCCATCAGCAAGATTATCCTTAATGGGACTTCTCATCACACGTTTTCATTTTTTAAGGGCTTCAGGAGAATGGCAGCATCCAGAGACGCGGTCAGCTGAGTTCTTGGCCAATGAAATCGTTGGAATGGATAACCTCCCAGAATTATTTAAAACGATCGCAAAAAAGATCGTGTCGAATAATTTTCCTTTACTTAAAATCAATTCAGATATTAACGATACAGGCTTGTTCTTAAAATCTGTTATTGCACATATAATCACACTTTTTGCATCGGTTGAACCGAATTCATCTCAATTAGCAATGTACTTACACAAATTACAAGATTGTTATGATTTGTTTATCTTAACAAGTGCTTCTGACATAGAATCGATAGTGTTGAATGCAATTGCTGGTGAAGGGGTCGCAAGATATTCCTGTCAATGTGGTTTGAAATATGTCATTTCAGCTTGTGGTCTTCCTATGGAGTATAGTGTATGCCCGAATTGCAAACATAAGATTGGCGGAGCTGATCATGTAATTGGAGAAGGAAACACCAAACTCGATGCATCAAATATTAATCAAGTAACGATAAATGATCAAACAGGATATGTTGATGAACCTGCCAATCCAACTTTAAATCATTTCGTTAGATCAATGCCAGCTATTTCATTTCGTATTTTGCATTTAATTGTTCATGTACTTATCGGGGCGTCCGCACCTCAACCTGCACTTGATTTTCTTCGAAAAAATGATCATACGGTTACGGACGATGCTGAAAAGTTTTGCATGGACCATATCGGAAATGATTGGGCAGTTCTCAAAAATCTCCTTAATTGTTCGGATGAGGTATATTATGTTATTACCTATTACCTATTTTATTTTTATATTATTTACTAACAAATTAATAATTTTAACCAGACCTTGTCGTCAATATTTCATTCAATAATTACTTTAATGATGGAAAAACCTCCATTACCGAATCAACGAATAACAACAACCGCTGAACGCGAGAATTGGGAAACAGAGTTTCATATAAATTATATTGAACCGCAAATTAGAAATGTAGCTGACATAGTAACTAATAATCGTGTTAAATTAGACGCGGCTTTAGCTAAAAATCAAATTTATAGTAATATGATTGAGAGTGAAATGAATCAAACTTTAGTGATGGATCAACAATACAGAAGTGATTATTTACCTTGCCTATGGAGGAAGATTGGAGTAATGAATTTTGAAGGTTTTCGTGCATATTATAACAGTGATTTGGAAAGAAACACGAATAACTATCCATTCCTTTCATTATTTTTCAAACATGCTAGACAATTAGAATTACTGAAACATCTCTTACCTATTGTCAAGTTTGTTCAAGTTTTGAATTCCAAACTTGGGCATCGCTTAACAAGACAAAAGGCAAGAGAAATGACTTTCGGGAATTTTTTAGAAAATGTATCTAATAATCCGCAAAATCGTGAAATTTTCTATAGTGCCTTTGATGATTTTAAAGCTGGATGGAATATAGTTATACCTAATGTTACCCAGTATCAAAATCATGAACTTCAAAATATACCAGTCATGGATTCTGAGCTTTCGATCGTTTTAGGTTTAATGGAACCAAAAGATGATGGATTTTTCTTATGTGCGATCTTAGAATATTTAGTTGCTTTACAAAACAATTTCATACGAGAAGTCATGGCAATTTCACCTGGGACTTGTCAATCTCTTAAGTTTTTAGATGAACCAATATTTGACGAACCGACAAAAGTAGAACTCACTCAATCTATGCGTATTGATTGTGCGCGGCCCAAGAATATAGTAAATTTTACTTGGGATGACGAAATTCTTACATATAGCCAAAGAAATTTCGAAGTTGCCAAAGGGCAATGTATTGTTTATGATTTGGTAAAAATTGAGGCGGAATTAGCAAATATTTTAGTTTTTGACAAGGTTTATATAGAAACGCAACCGGAATCTCAATTGTATTTAGAAACTTTTCCATATCACATGGAATTGTTCTCCATATGTAAGAGAATCCTTGACAATATTAAGAATTTAATACCTCAAGAACAAATCCCGATTGAGAAAATGAGCTTGTTAGGTGCACAATTTTCACAATTAACATTAGAAAACGCTTCAGAGACCTTATCATTATTGGAAATTCTTCTGTGTTTTGTTAAACGTACAGCAATTGGATATGGAGAAAATTCTCTTAAGGATTATGTTAATCAATGGATTAAATTATCATCATTAATCGAACATCCAGGCTTCTCTGAAATTTTAAATCTTGATTTACGACTTAAACATTTGGTAGCTTTATATGTTTTTGTTGAAGAACAAGTTGCCAATCTTAAAATCAAAGATGTTCACGAAAAATATAAAGTTCCACTTTCAGATGATATGGAAAACGCAATACTTCGATCTGTGAATTTTGAACAGCAAACTGCTGGAAAAGAATTGATACCAGCAGAAGCATTTGCCTTAGCTTTAAAACGATTCATGATCCGATTTTTATTTTCAGAGAATCAAAAAGAAACCGAATCATTATTTATTTATTTGCATGATGATTCATTAAATTTCTGGCCGTCAACAATCTCAAAACACCTTATTGATGAATTATTCCCAGAAAATTTAATAGTGGCCAACACATTTGCTACCTATGAATTTACTATGGAAAAATTGGGTTAGAATACTCAATTAAAAAATTTTTTAAAAAATTTTTTTTTTATTATTTTGGCACCGAACGCCACCTAGACTTCTATAAATTGCTTTCTAATTTTTTTTTTTTTTTTTTTTTTTTTTTATTATTATTATTGATTGTGTTACAATAATCCAAACAAATAAATCTTTGTTTTTTTTAATTGACAGAATGTAAATGTTTATAAGTCATCTTAATCAAAACGAGTGAGTTACAGATTTATATTATTCTTAAGTTAGTTTAATAATATTTTTCAGGGCTACTATTAACTAGCTTCCAATTCTCTTAAAGAAAGAGATGATAACGTATTATTCTGTTTGTCTACAATTCTTTAAATAAAAAAAGTAATAAAAAAATGAAACATCATATCTTGTTTACCTTTAGCACAAAAATGCATCTTTGAAATTGTTTATTAAATAAACGAAATTTTGCCAAAAAAAAAATTGGTTATACCGTTTTTCATTACAATTTTAGTGTCAGTATTGCGAGGAACCCGTGATAGAATCCAATGAAATTTACTGCGGCAATCATCAGGTGCTGTCGATCCACTTTTTCTTTTAGACGGCGCGAGTTAATTTATAAATAAAATTTTTTAAGTTGCAATGATAGATATGTTTTACATATCATATAAACGACAATTCATAACTTGATCATCAGATCCTTCGCCTAATAAACCATTTTCACTTAAAAAGAATAAATCTGTGACCTATTCTAATTAATTCAAAGTTGCTGCTCTTGAAACTTGTCACGCCTCATTTATATTTACCGGCCCATATTAACCACGCGAAGAATTACGAAGAATTATCATAAATAAAAAGTTATAGTTTTTATTACTCAAGAATTAAAAAGTTTTTTTTACAATTTTTTATAAAATAATATTGATTTTATTACACATTATAATATATACCAATTTACACAAATACATTTAATGATCGTTCAAAAAAAAAAAAAAAAATCGCTTTTCACCACCGTATGAACTGTTCTTAATGGATTCCCAGAATAGTGTGATTTAGATAATAGAGGCTGTAATAACCAGTTCTAAGCAAGAAAAACTCACGTTTTGAGAATCTACAGTATAATGTAAGAAAGAAGGCAAAAAAGTTAATATGCTGCAGTCATATTAAATGAGGTCGAACACACTGTCACACTCCTCGGACGAGAGATGGGTCGCATATATCAATCTATCAGGACAAGCCCATAAGAGATGCATTCCATATATTCTCAATCGTCGTGTCTGGTAGTATTCTTAAGTATACCCGTCTCACCTTGAGAAACTCTTTTGCTATAATATTCTCTTTGACGAACTAAAGTTTAGTGGACCAAATTCAAGAAAATTTTGTATTATGACTCAGAAGTTTATAAAAGTCATTTAACTGCAACACAATATTCATAAAAATATGGTCACGGAAGACATTAAATTACTTCTCATCATTGTCATAATTATCAAAAACGATTTTTGAGCGGACGGTATGGGTCGCTATATCTAATAAGCTGTAAGAAAGAAAAGAAAAGTCGATGAGATAAAAATATAATAATCAGGAAAAAAAACAAAAACAAAAAACATCAAAACAAAGCATCATCAAATTAAGACGACGCAGCATCATCAAGCAATTAAGCGACGACGCAAGCATCAGGCCGTAAACAGCAACGCAATAAAGCGCCAAGCTGTAAACAGCAACCGACGCAATTATGGTTTATCGTTAAGAAAGATGTGGGGAAAAGGGCAAGCTGTCGCAATTGGTTACATTGCACATCTACCACATGACAGGGCTATCTTCATTAGGCCTAAACACAAGTGCCTAAACATAACTACTCAGTCCCTCTCCGCGGTCAGTGACCATCTGAAATAAAAATAATATGTCTTCGCGCGTGACCGTGTGGACGTTGTTGAAGTGCTAAATCATCGGTAGTTGCTGTTCTGAAAAATCGAAAGTTGCTGCTCTGAAAATCGAAAGTTGCTGCTCCTGAAGAAGTTGTCCAAGCCGCCGGTGATATTTTTCCAACGATATCTTCTAATATACTTAACCTGAACTGATGGCCACCGGATAGTCCGACTCACCCTTACCAGCAGACGGAAACCCGCAGAAACACTCCCCAACTGCGACAGCGGTTTTTTATTATCAAGAAAGTGGAAAGGTGTTATCTATGCTGACGAAAAAAGTGTACGGAAGTAGACCAGAGAAAGGAAAAGGTGGAAGCTATGCTAACGAGAGAAGACAGTAAGCCTGTGAGAGAAAAAAAACTACAAAAGATGCACTTTATTTAATTTTTGGTGCGATGTCTCGTGATTAGAAAATTAATGATCATCATTACGTAATATTATAGCCGAAAATGGCTTAATATAAGATTCGTTATATATTATATCGTGTTATATCTATTGAAGGAGTCTTAAAATCCTGTTTTTTTACATAATAAGTAAAAGTGCACGCATTATTCTATGAACGAGATCCTGCCTATCACTAAGCAGTTACTCACATCAAAGAAATTGCATTAACAAATAATATAATATATGCAAAGGAGATTTTTAAAAGGCAAAAGTGGCATATACCATAAAATTATATAGAGATAATTGAAAAGGTACAAAATAATAAAAATAAAAATAAAAATAAAAAAATAAAAGAAAATATATAGTAATATAAAATTTTCTTTAGTATCAAACGAAAATGAGGAGTACAGTAACTTATTGCATAAGGCGAAACAATTTTCCATTTATTTAAAAAAAATACAATATAATAGTAAATCAAGAACGTTTTAATATATAAAAAAATATATATATTGTTCTTAGAACGTGTAACGACATATATCGTTGGTAATTTATATGACCGTTTCTGGAAATTCGATCTCGTTTCATATTCCAATATCAGAAATGTATTACCTTTTCCAGTTTAAACAGAGATCTACAAAGGTGCTCAACTTCATGAATAATTTACTATCGATATTTTTCTTAGGGAGGGAAGTCGTATGCTGCTACTCGTAGTAAATATGAAGAGCCTCTTAGACAAATAGAAGGTTACAAAGATCAGAACAGAGCTTTGGCACGTCGCTTTGAAAAAGTTCAAGTCTCATGGCTTTCTTTAGATAATATAACAGAGAAGCAAACAATTTCATTTTGCTTATTGCAGTTCTTCTTTTCATTATTAAATTACTAACTTTTTAGTTTAAGGGCTGTCGCACGTTTCAGTCTGTTAACTTATGGTTTATCCGCATGCTTTTGCAGTTACAGACTTGTGATGGCTCTTAAGTTATTTTCTTTAGATGTATTAATAAAAAAAAAAAGGAAAATTATTTTGCCATAATATTAAAGTAAAAAAAAACTTTCATGTTTCACTGCCATAAAAATATATTCCCGTAAGTATCTAATGAGATTTAGTTATCTGAAAATCTTATTTAAGTTTTTATCAATAAAAAATTTTTGAAAAAAAATGATGTAAAGAACATTTATTGCTTCAAGCTTTTAGTCTCGTTTCAATTAAAAAAAATTTTGATCGACAATTGACGTTACTTATCGGGAATTTTAGGTAAGGGGATTATATTATCAAATTTTACTTTGCCAAAGATTTTTACACTACTTTTTATTTTTTCTTAATAAAAAACTACAACATAGTTTCGTTGATTTCATTGATTTTAGATCTGCAAGTCGAGAGCAATGTAGGAGCAATTCTTATCGTTACCAAATTTAGTTTTTAATTACGTGATGTTCAAACAAAGTTCGATTTATATTACCCAAAGTAGAAAATAAAGTAAAATTTAATATTATTTAATAGTACTGTATATATCCTTATTCACTTTTAAGTATACAAATTTCATACGAAACGAGTATAATTACTAAATTTAGCTTGTGTCTCTCTTAATGTAAGACTCACTTGTGAATGTTTTTTTATTGGGCAAATGTCGAAGTGGGAAAATATGGTATTCATTCATTTGTTTTTCGTAATTTATCATTTTCTTTTTTTTTTTTTTTTCTCGAACGTGATGGGGGACCAACTTTAATTGTCAGTCATCTACAATTGAAAAAGGACAAGTACAACTGCTCGTGAATGAGTTTCCTTTGTAATGGTCTGCTATGTCATCTTCCCATGTGTGAATCAAAAACTGCATCATGAGTGAGTTGCTCACGCCTGTTGGATATCCCCAATCTTGGTCGATAGTCAACCGAACGCAACCTGAGCCCTATCGGATATCCACATCCTTAGACGCAATCGAAAGTCGATCGATCATGTAAGTTATTTATTTATTATATTTCTTTCTGATATTTTAGTCTTATCATATGACTTGCACAAGGCGGATAAAAGATTCACTAAACAAAGCCTCACATTTTACATTGTAGTGGTCCAAGAACGAATTTGGAGTTGGAAATTACGTTAACTTGATCTCATCAGAAAACCTGATCTCTAATTATAATAAAAACGTTTTGACGATTAATACAGTCCGGGAATTTACCAAATATGTCACGACGATCATTTCCTAATATAGTATAGAATTCGCCGATCTGAATATTCTAGATCTATCTCAATTTGGAAAATTATTGAATTTTTAAATATAAAAAATATAAAACAATAAAAAATATCAAGCAAAAAAAAATTATTTTCTTTAGATTAATTGCAACAAATTAAAAAATCATCAAATATCAATTAGAAAATCAGTTTTTTATGAAATGACTAAATTAGTTTGATTATTCTGCATTTGATAGGTGTGAAATTTGACAAGCGTGAAATTTTGACACGTGAAATTTTGACAAGCATAAAATTCTGATAAGCGTGAAATTTTAACAGCATGAAATTTTAAAATTAATGTGAGCCAATTTTATTAGAATATATATTTATCAAAAAAAAATGTAAATAAAAAGACAAAATACAAATATTGAAGTAGTACAAATACAAATTTATTTTAAATTAAATTCATCATCTGAAGTGAATAAATGCTTTACCTCTTGCAATATGTTTAATAATTTGCTTCATTTTTTTGATTTCAATCTAGGATATTTCTTCGAGTATTTTTATCTAGTTGTTTAAAAAGAATTTCGATCTTTAATAAAATTTCTGTCTTGTTCATATTTTTTTTTGTTCTCTTGTGCATCTGCTTCTTATTTTGTAATTGGTATTGGCCTAAAAAAAGGAGATGGTTTTTTATTAATAAATGTTTCAATAAAATTTTGTTAATATTGTTTTACAATATATGTGAAATTTTTTAAATGTTCAGTTAACTCATATTCTTTTTTCAGGCTTTGACAAATAGTCTGTATATTTTTTGGATTCACAAATTCAAGCCTTCGCAAAAGAGTTCAAAATCTTTGGCATTTCATGGTTGATTCTGATTGAGTTTTTGATCCTGATTGCTGGTGATCATTATATCTAATTGCTTTAAATAAATTATTTCTAAGCTAAAATAAACAATTAGTATTTACGCGTATATAAAATTAGTTTAATTTAAAATTAAAAAATTCATCTCAAAGAATTTTTTACAATTATGTGTTACAATCTTCCAATGACAATGTTATAGAATAGGAGATATTAAAGATTTTAAGGTTTTGTTCACTTTCTCTATAATTGCGTCTAACCTTTAGTACTATTTATAAATATCTGATCAAGAAATAACACAATTTTTCTCTATTATATTTCATATTTCTGAATGAAGTTGCATCAACTGAATTTCATTAGAAATATCTATTAAGCAATAAATAGGATGACATCTTGTAGACCAAATAGGAGAAAAAGTTCTTTTAGCAGCCCTTTTTAAAAAAGGATCATTAATTCTTATGGCTTTTCGATAATTAATTATCGTTTAAAGGTAAACAAATATTTTATTAAAAAATAAGTTAGTATTAATTTAAAAAATAATAATTAAAAAAAAATCAATTAATAATGATCTGTTCATATTTTATTTGATAAAGTGGATCTTGCTATTCTTTAATTCATGCAAGATATCTTTCAATAGACGAGTTAGAATGGTTTTTTACATATGGCTATAAAAGCTTCATAGTCATTGCTTGACAATATATGCTACAAATTAAATCCCAGGACTTATGATGATCTATACATTTTTTGAAATAGGCAAGCTAATTTTCAGTTTGATAACCTTGGTATATTTATTGCAAACTATTTCAAATCGATTTTCCTAATATATAAAAAAATATTTAGTAATGTTAAGGTGAGAAATATTAGATTTTAAATCTATATTACTTATCAATTCAACTCTACATATGCTCAAAGCATATTCATTTTTTTATGTAATTGTCCTAGTATAAGAACTAACTAGAAAATTTTTTCCTCAACTTAGTAGCATGATGGTATAGAATACCATCACAGGTGATAATGATCTATTTGCGAGTATTATCCTTAATGCCTGATATTATTTCTATATGTGAAAGTATCTTTTTAATATTTATAATTGAGTTAGGATTAATGTTAATAAGATCAAGAACATAAATCTCAGGAATATTAACTCTCAGATTAGTAACTTTTTGTTGAATAAGACTGATCCTAGAAACACACATGACATTTTGTTCGTCATCAATGTTGTAAGATTTAAAGGTAAGTGAGTTGTTTAATTGATCAATTATAATATTTTCAATTTCAGTTTCTTTTTAGATTTCAGCTAATATTGGTAATGACATTTTGCATTCTGAATATATTTTTTTTCGATTCTCAATGTTTTATTGACCTGCAGTTGAGACAAAATTTCATATTAATAATATTGGTTATTGTAGATATTACAAGAGAATCAATAATATTAGTAAAGGATAAATTTTTTTAGATAACAAATTAAGAATTTTGAAGAGGTAAGTATATAGTTTCTTATCAATTATTTCTTGTATTTGAAGGTTGATATTAAATAGTTCTTTATACTATAACCTAAAAAGAGACTGATATAACCAAGGTAAATTAGTATGTTAAATTCTATTTTGTAATGCCATATTGAAAGCAATAAAACTGGTAATAATATAGTAAATGACTGTATTAGATTCTTGATTAAAATAGTTCTTCTGTTCTTTTTGTTTATTATCAAATATGAGAACTAAAAGACCTTTGGGTAATGGTTCTTCATACTTTGATAATTTATTCAGCCATTTTTGAAATCGATAATAGCTTCCTGAATGTGTAATATGATTATCAATATTAATAACCAATTTTGATCGTACAATCGAATATTTAATAGCTGAAGCAGCAAGTTGAATTTCTGATATGTATTTTTCATATTGTGTTCCATATATCAAATTGAATATGACAGCAGTTTTAAAAGCTTTTCTTGACTTAAAATGTCAAAGTCTCGATTATTCTGAATTAGAATTTCAATAAATTTAACAGTAACCTAATTACACCTATTAAGCTATTCACGCAGATTATATATCATGAGATTTTAGAGAAAACCTATCACTATCTCAAATCAGTAAACTTACATCTTCGAATAATAGTTCACGTTCTGCTTTTGCTATTTTTATAATTGCATTGATACATTTGTTTTGGTTATTAAATCGTGAATTTCACTGCTCAACTAAAGTTTTATTGCTTTTACATTACTTTTTATACAAATTTTGCATCATATTCATATCATTATAGGCTTTTTGCAGTTTCTTTTTTAATTCTTTTACTTCATCTTTTTAGTTTTTTAAATACTGATATATCCATTTGATTTGATTTTTGAGTTCTATTATTGATTGTATTTTCTGCTAATTTTCTAACTGAATGGATTTTAAAAGCTTTTTAGTCCTGTCAAACTCAACCATTATGTTAGTATAATTATTATCTTGATTAGCATCAAGTCAGGATCTTTTGCTTTTTTGAACAGAACCTACAAGATGTTGATAAAACTGATTAGTTAAAATGATTTGATTATAATGTTTCTCACAAATTAAATAGGATTCTAAAGGATAAAAATTAGCAAGTTTAGGAAAAAAATCATGATAAAGTATAAGTCGCTTAGCTGCTTCCTGACCGCTTGTATGCCACCATTTTTGTGATTCTTTAGATTCACAAGGCTTTAATCTGACTTTATTATATTTTTCAACTAAGTCTGCGAAAATGCATAAGAGATCTTTCGCTCTTAGTTTCTGGTAAGAAGACATTACAGAAGGGTTAATTTAAAGTTAACAAAATTGCATTCTTTTTATTACTTTCTTACTTAACAATATATAAGGAAAATCCTTAATCTTTAGGTTTCATTTACTTTTTCAAAAACAGTTAGCTATAAGGGATTATTTGGGATTATTGAAATTAGACATTTTATATTGTCTATTTTTATATTTTTATTAATACATTAATACATGTAATATATAAAATATCATAGACGAAAAAAAAAAGTATCTGAGCCAATCAAATCTACGAATCTACTCATGGATTATTCTAGAACTCAATTTCCTAATTTGGTATATCCCCCGGACTGTAATAGGGAAATGGGAACTTATCCCAGGGGCCCCTGAATAGCTTTTATAATATTAACATTTATAATTGAACATTGGTACATTGGTCTAAATAAAATGTTTTACATTCTAATACAATGTACGATAAAGTTTATTGATAAATCATTTGTACAGTACAAAGGTTATAACAGAAAAATCTTTTTAATCTGACTTTAGTTCGTATAAGCGTGCATGAACTTTTCTTTAACATGATAGAAATTAATCAATATTCAATAAAAATAATAAAAAATTGAAACAAATTATTAAATTTCGAAGAAATTAATTATGATTTTAACCGCAAAAAAAAAATATAAAATGTTTGTCAAATAAAACTAATGATTCTTTCGTATATGAGGATATATACTTTAAAATCAATTCTAGTGTCATTTTAGTTTCATGTGTGGCCGAAAACAAGTAAACTATCTGAGAAAAATTATTATGTGTATTTGGTATTTGGTGTGTTGATTCAAAGATATTTGATCCATTGATGATAAACAAGACGAAATGTATGGAGTTCTTCCTTATGTAGCTACTGAGATTTTGAACGGAAGTTCAGTAACAAAAGCGATCTTTAAGCTTTGGTTATAATTTTTTATTTTTCTCACACAACAATTACGAGAAAGTGGAAGTGAGAAAAGCTCGGTCCGTATATATATTTTTTTTTTCATTATTTATTATTATTATTATTATTATGATTTTCCTGTATAGACCGATTAGCGGACGGACGGAGTAACATTGGAGCTCGACTTGGGGTAATAAATGGGGCTTTCCTTAAATATTTTGAAAATTTGATAATTTAATTATGTGTTGATTTGCTGCATCTTTGTAATTTGTCATTGTCATGGCATGAATAATTCCTTTCAATAAATTGTTTTTATTAAATCACCAGAATCATTTTCAAAATCACAAAATAATGCTTTGTCTTTAAATCAACGAATCTACATTGCTTTCTCGAAATGATCTGCATTAAACTGGACATATTTGTTTGTAACAATAGGATATGTTTTACATTCCGTTTCAAAATATTTAATGAACAAAAATTGAACGTTAAGTGATAGACTTTTTACTTTTTACGTTTTATGAAATAATTTTTTTTTTTTTGCTGTAAGAACTGTAAGAACCTTTTTTTTTTTTTTTTCCTTTTACAAATGAATTATAGAATCCTCTAAAAATCTTAAAAACGACTATAGCGGTAAGCAAACTTTTATAATTACATTTACAAAATTTAAAAAGGGATCTTTAAATTGCAACCTTCACGTAGCAATAAATATGTTCACTAACGTATTTGGTATCACAGGAGGTGGATTTATGTCGAACAATCGCAAGGATGAGAATGAAATCAATTTCATATTCCATGTTCATATGCCAGAAAATATTGATACATTGGTCAACCCGTAGTAGTTCTTGGTGATAAAACTTCATCAGCCACTTCCTCAAAATCCTACATATTGATGATCTGACTCTGTTACTATTTCCGTATCATTATCGCTGAAGGTTATGATATTTTTCAATACAATACGTTATTGTAAAAAAGAAGTGAAAAAAATATCCTTGAAGGAAATAGCAATCGAGAAAATCGCTCATTGATCGGTTAAAGGCTTTAAAATATCCTAGTGATGATTTATTAGCAAATTTATTAAAGAAATCAAATTATTAGGCCTTTTATTGATGGCATTGATTTTGAAACTTACGTTAAACTTGTAAAGGTAATTTCTTAAAAATATTTATTTTTTTTTTTATTTTTTTTTTCAAAATAATATTTGAATATCGAAATTATTCGGATATCGAAATTGATTTCAAATATCGGATTTCGAATATCAAAATCAATCAATTCGATCGATCTTATCGATTTTTATTTTTTTTTTTTAATTTAATATTTTTCTTTTGATATTATTTTTCTTATTTTTTTTTTATGTTCTTTTCGAAATGATTTTCGATATCCGAAATCAATTCGATATTCGTTTGAAATTATTTTAAAAAACTTTCAAATATTTGAAATGAAATTTGTATTTCGAACGGAAACCATAAGAAGATACAAAATATTTGTGTAACTTGGTTTACACATTTTTTGACCAAGTTGGGCAAATGAGAAACGATCAATAGAAAAGGGGGAAATCCACTTTTAGTCAAAAATTTTTTTATTGGTTCACTCTGCTGATCATGGTCATGTGAAAAAACTAGCTTAATAACTAAAATTACTAGATTTCCCCCTTTTCTATTGACCGCCCCCCCCCCCCATATGTATCCTTTGCTTGGTCAAAGGAATACTATGTAAGACAGTTCAACAAGTTGAGATCAGTTAATAGATAAATTCTTTATAATTTGCGATTGTGATAAAAAAGCAAAAACTTTAATTGTTCCAAATCCGTAAGTTTTCATTATGATTGTCTTCATTAATTCTTGAGATCACTAATTTGTTATTTTATTTTATGTAATAATTGTTAGGATGAGCGAAGAGAATTTTTTATAATGATTAAATTGCAAAACCAATCTTTTACTTCTTTGGAAAATCATTTAAACGTTTTAAAAGGTAGTAAATTTTGGAAAGTTATATTATGCGCTACTGGAAATGTTGAAAAACTTCATTCAAACCCATTCGTCCAGCGTATTAAAACTTCAATAAACGAACTTTGCGGATTACTCCTTAAAAAAACAATTGACATAAGATTATTACAACAACTTTTAAAATATTCAGATGATGAATCATTTTTCATTTTTGATGCAGCTGTTGCCAAAAAGAAATATTTAAGTGATATGATCGTTTCTCGAGATGAAATTGCGAAACTTAGAGGGTTATGTAAGAATTTATCAACTACAATACGACATGCTTTTCAAGTTTGATGGGAGATTTGTTCGGCTGCTCAAGACGTAGATGATTATATACAACACTTACAAAGTCCAGACGAAATAAATTTGAAGCAAGCAATTGTACCAGATTATTGAGCGTTGCATGAAAAAACGTTAGATAGCGCGAGACGTTGTTACAAATATCATCAATCTCAAACTTTTCCAAATATCTTGAAGTTTGTTACCAGGAAGATGCTGCAACCAAAGTGGAATATATAGCGTAAAATCTGATACCGGTCGTTTTTGAAAAATACAATGCATTGGTTGAACAATTGAGAGTTTGGGAAAAACTCAAATGTTCAGAAACTTTTTGTATTGGAAAAATGGTACGAATTTTATTATGGAATTTGAATTAATGGTTAAAACCGTCAAACCGATAAATTTATAAAGACTCTTGACCGTCTTTCAAAATTTCCTCACCGGATTGAACGACTTGAACGTATAGAAAAGGCCGCATGTATTTCAATATAACACGTAATAAAGAGAAAGAGGATTGGCTATTGAAGGCAATTCGTCTTTTAAAAGATGAAGATTTTGTCGTGGAACTTGGGCAAATAAATAGTATTTTGAATACTTAGATAGGAACCTTTCTGATGTTAATGAAACTTGAAATTGATAACAGATTTATCAATTGCTGAGAATTTGATTAATCGTGTAGATGATGAAAATTCGATTCAAGAGGATACAGTAACGTCGCTTATTCAAGTCCAGCAATTTTTAATTCCCGTCATGGAGAATAAAATGGAAACTGTTGTTTTGAGAATGTTATTAAATGTTATTGAGAGAAACCCCAATTTAGGAGAGAAGTTCTCGTTATGTAGTAATAGCAATATAGCATTACAAACCATGTACAATAACATTTCGAACCATAGGGAAGTTACTTAGGAAAAGATTAAGAATGCCGTAAAAAACGGAATTTATATTTTAAACGCGATGAGAAGAAGGGAGATAAATGCCAAGTATTATATACATATACCTATATAACTGAAATGAAATATAATTTAAATGAAATTTTCGATTTACGTGGACGAGCTCTTTTAATTGCCAAACCAAAGACCACGGTTAAGATAAATGATGATGGTGTAGCAAATGAGGATATGTTCAACATTATAGATGATTTTGTTGCCCATGTTGATATCGCCCAAGAAATATTTAATGTGGAACAGTATTGATCCAAATGGGACATTTTAGTTATAGAAGATTCGAACAAAAATTCATGGAACAGAAAGTATGAAAAATTACCTGATAAGTTTAAAAAAGGGGTAAATATATGCCATTTTATTTATTTATTAACAAAAGGATTTCTGACGAGCTTAATTATTTACCAATGTATAGGAAAAAAATTGTGGATGAAACACAGGAGAGATGTTACTATTTAACATTCTTCCTTACACGTCAGATTTTAACATTCTACGATTATTTCACATCAGAAAAGTTAGATAAGGAAAATGAAGAAGAATGTAAAATATTGATTAGATTTGTAAACAGCAAAGCCCAGTTAACACCTCGAGAGAGTGTCCAAAAGATTTCATGTGAATCTAATTGGTGATGAATTAAAAGGAATTTTTAGAAACTTTCCAAAACAATCTCGTAAGCTTAAAGCTCTTGGACAACACGTAAAATCGAATATCGTTACGAAGGGTAAATTATTCGTTGCGGCTTGCAACAACACAACGTTAGTTTCAAATATCATCATGTCGTTATTTGTTAATCATGGATCTTACCCAGAACCATGGCAACTTTTAATATGAACTTCGTCAACTACGATTGAAGAGCTCACAACTTTCATTAAAAGAAGTTTTTTGCTTCAAATAATGGATATGAGAATCAATTGTTTTGTATTGAAAACCTAGACTTGTTAGACTTTGAACTACAATATAGTTTGGTTAATCAAATTAGATCAATGCGAAATCAAGAGGAAGATTATCTTTTGGCACTTATTTGTTATAGAGAACCTGGAATGCACCATCACATCTTAGATCAATTCTACTTAGATGTTCACGCAACTAATGGTTTATCCACTGATACAATGACAGAAATTTATCATGACTTTTGTCAAAATATTATGTGTGTTACATCCGACTTATTTGGATAAGGTAAATCTGAGTGGATCAAAGAAACTAGTTTTATTAAAAAATAAGTTCCGCGTAGATTTTTGATAAGTGATGGTATTGATTTTGGTACACTTTTTCGTTAATTCAAAGAATGTAAACTTGAAACCTTTAGAAAGTTTGCATATTAACATATTATCATCTAAACATCCTGAAAATGTTTATTTGAGTTATTAACTTTGGGAATGGTTTCTACCAATGACGAGATAGCTTTTCTTCCACCCTCAGAAGCACCTATACACATATTTATCGAAATAACCTCCACCACTGAACAACGTTTACTTAATTCTCTTCCCATGTTAAGTTATCTATTACATACGCATTTAACTTGGAATATAAAAAATTTGAAGATCTCTCAAAAATTAGTAGTCCAGATCAGATTACTTGTCATTATTTGAATTTGTATGATCATAACGAAATAGATACAAAAGAAATCCTTCTCCGAACAAATGAAGAACCGTTACCGGTAGATCGTTGTCAGAACCTTATAGAGAAATATTTCTTTCATGAAAATTCTGAGAAGCTTTATCATTTAGATTTGTCGAAATCTTTGTTAATGTTCTTGCAGAGCAATTAGTTCGATTATCTTCATGTCAATTCACCATAGAAAATCTGAAATTCGCGATGGGAAACGTCAATATAAGATCTTTAATAATTGGAACTTTAATAAATGTTTCAAAAAAGAATTTGCAACCAGATCTATTAAAAAGAAAAGCATTACAATTCGAGTCTTTGTTCGTATAGGAACAGTTGCAGAATGGGATAATGCAAATCTTATTATATTAGTTAACTCTCAAACTCAAAATACCTTTTCTATATTATATCCCGACAAAGATAGCGTTCCCAATGATATTAAATTATTGCTAAAGAGTCAAGAAATTGGTAATCTAGAAAATTGGGAGTTGCAAGATTACAATGTCATCAAATGCGCTTTTAATGAAGTTAGAAGCAATGGCACGAAGTTCGACAGAAGATTAGACTACCCCGAATATGCTTTAACTAGTGATAATTTGATAAAGATGGCGCTAATTCTTTTAAGAGTACGTGCAAATATTCCTGTAATTTGCGGAGAAGTGGGATGTGGCAAGGTAAATTTTTGTTATTATTATATATATATATATATATTACTTATATCTTATAGTTTTTCTAAATTTTTTTATTTTAATTTAGACAAGTTTAATTGCATATTTTAGCCAATATGGTTGGAGTTCTCTTAATCTTCATGCTGGAGTTAAAGAAGAAAGTATTATGGAGTTCATGAATAATGCTTTGGAAAAGGCAGTAAATGGCTAGATTTGGTTATTATTTGATGAAATCAATGCTTGCAATCACATGGGCTTACTTGCAGAATTAATATCTCGAAGAATATTTAATGGTAAACCTATACACCCAAATATTCATTTATTATCTGCCTGCAATCCATACCGAATTCGTACAAAAGCTCAAAGTGAAACTAGTAAGGTCAAAAGATACGAAGAAAAAAGCAACCTTATCTATCAAGTCAAATCACTTCCTGACCAAATTTTGGATTATGTATGGGACTATGGTGTTTTAAAACCAAATGATGAATTTAAATATATTCAAATTATGGTTGATAAGGAATTAAAAAAACTTGCAAGCCCGTATTTACCAATCTCTTATTCGCTTCTCAAAAATTCATTCGTGAAGTTGAGGAACCGTATAGTGTCAGCTTGCGTGATGTCAAGCGAGCTATAACATTAATGAAATTCTTTAATTATTCTCTTGAGAATCGTCCGTTTTTAAAAAAGGGACGTAAATATCCACCACATTCGCAATCTGGAAGTCCAAACATAAGGACCAGATCTTACGTTTTAGCACTTAGTCTTTGTTATCATTCTCGATTGTACGATCAAAATTACGTAAAAAATATCGTAGCGAAATGGAAAAATTATTAAATTTGAAAAAAGTTGCGTTTTCTAAAATTATTCGTGACGAGCAGGAAGATTACATTAATAGAATGAAATGTCCACCTAGTACAGCAAAGGATGAAGCTTATGATTGTATGCATATTAACCAGAATTCCTTTGTTTTAATCGGAGCTCCCGAGTTTGTATATATAATTTTATTATCACCACATCATTTATTATTATTTTAGAAGTTTGTCACGAGTTTACTTAATTCCACAGACTTCTTCAACTTCGGATGGTATAATTAAAGTATTTGAAAAGGCTATCAATTATCAGGAAACATCTTCCAAACAATTTCCCGTCATTAGTGTTGTTTTGCTTGATAACGGTAACCTTTCGATTATTTTTTTTATTTCAGTTAAACTTACTGTATATCTTAAGTTTTTCTTAAAATTAGTCGGTTTGGCTGAGTTCTTACAATCCGTCGAAAGTGTTTCACTCTTTGCTCGAGCCAAGTCAGTTTAAAGTTCCATCGAATACCCAATCAAACAGTTCGGTTAATATACCTCACTCTTTTCCAGAAGAAATTTATCCAGCAGGACCTACAGTTTCAGTCATTGGAATTTCAAATTGGTGCTTTGATAATAGCAAAAGTAATCGTGCATTACTTGCTCAAAGGTATATACATAAATTTGCTATGTAACGTGTAAATTTCGGACTTTTAATTATTATCACGTCATCCTTTCAGACCTCAATTTTGTTTAGATGATTTAGTTGATACAGCTGAATGTTTATTAAATACGAAGGTTATCGGACCTGGTCAAAGGCTTGCTTTGGAAATTTTAGCTAAAGCATATTCAGATTATGAAGAAAACGGACAAGATTTTCCTAATTTCCATGGCCTTCGAGATTATTATTCGTTGGTCAAGCGACTTTCATTATCCGAAATGACGCCGGAAAATATTAGCTCGTAATTTTGGCGGAACAGCAAATAACGCAAAGTTATGCAAAAAATATTTTGGAGATGTTCTCAAAAACATTTAATAATCACGATACATGGTTCTATGAACCAATTTCTATTGAGACATTAATCGATTCAAATTTAGATGAACTTGATACACGTCATTTAATGGTTATTGGTAAGAGTGATTGATTCTATTGTAGATTTATTAACCTATCAATTAAGGAGAATAAATTTGGGTCCTGTTGTAATTTTGGGATCGAAATTTCCTGAAGATCAAGATGATTATTCTTATAGTGTTTTTGAATAGAATTATGGTATTAATTACTTATCTTTTGTGAACAATTTTTATATTTATTATATAAATTAATCTAATACGATCATTTTATTATAGATGTGTGTCGAAGCGGGCAGGCCATTGATTCTAACCGATTTAGATATAATTTACGGTTTATATATATATATATATTAATTTATTTATTTTTAAAAAAACACTCATTTATTGATTTAATTATATCAATTATATTATCATTTTATACAAAATAGGAAGTCTTTACGATTTATGGAATCAAAATTATATTGTGGTTGGAGGCAAAAACAATACCAAATATTTTACGAAAGTTGCTCTCAGAGCATATGCTATCCCTATGCTGTAAGTAAATGAATCATTCGTATAAATTTGTCACAAATTACAAACTAATTATTTTATTTTATATTTTCTCAGATATGTTTCACCAAAATTTAAATGTATACTTGTCATGGATGTAAAAAAAGTGCGTTCTGCAGATTCTCCACTACTTAATCGATTTGAAAACAAAATATGTCAATTAATGACGTAGTTGATACTAGACAAAAATCACTTGTAGTAAAGTTAGGTGATTGGACAAGACTAATGTCAACTTTAACTGGAGTTAATCAAATATCTAAATCACAAAATAATGAATCTGCGCAGAAAGATTTATTAATCGGTTTTAATGAAGATGAAACTTTAAAAGTTTAGTCATTGACTCTACGAAGAATGATCCAGAAGCTAAGGATGATGAGATTCTAATAAAATGTAAGGAACGTTTAATAGCAATAGCAACTTCTGATGGAATTGTAAGAGCCGAACAATCGATGTTAGAACCAGACGAAATCGAACAATGGAAAGAAGTTTATTTCCAACAAAAACATGATAGCCTCTACGAATATTTTGATGATTTATTAGCAGATCCTAAAGGACACTTGGTAATTGTCAGTGCATTCTCAAACATTAATATCGATGCCAAGTCTTGTTTACCAGATCATCTCAAGTGTCAAGAGGATAAATTGTCAACTTTCAAAACTGAAGCTCAACTTAAAAATCGGGTAGTCGATACAATTTTTAATTTATAGTTTTTTTTTTTAATAAAATAAATGTTCATATTTAAATATACGTTTACAGGTGAAAAATTTTTGGCTAGAATCAACTGATAATATGTTGATTATTCAGTGTAACGCAACGGCTGCTAATGCTGGATGTATCAAGTTAGCTAAGTTCATTATCGAACAATTCCAACGTGAATTCTTAGCAAAGAAAGATGATTTAATGGATATGAAGCATGCGTGTATCATATTACATATTCATCGAGATCATGAGTCCATCTTGGCATCTTTTAATTTTATGTGCGGTTGGAGACAAATGACTATAGAAATTTATCAAGAAATGATATTCCTTTACTTGATCTTTTGGATAAGTCATTATCTGATATTATAAATTCTTATTATCCATTCAAAAAAATTTTACTAGAAGAATTATTATGGTGTTTGTTGTGTATGAATATCCATCAAATATTAAGTTTTTAATCATATAAAGTAAGCATAGGTCTTCTGTTTAAAATCTTTATTATCCCTTGAGAACTATCTTTGAATATAAATTTTTTTTTTAAAAAAATCTAGGATGTTAAGCGAAAAAAATATTAAAATGTCCAACCTTGATTGAATGCTTGAAAACAAGAACCTTATCGAAGAAAATTTTACAGATCGCTGGTAATATAAAGTTGCGTCAAACAAACAGCATTTATATACATACGCATCATTTTTTGCGGCATTACAATTTCATAATTCCGATAGCTGAAATTTTATGTGTCTTTGGAAAGGTTATCAGCGACAAAACTCTTTTCTATGTTGATGAGAATGTAAATGATGATGTGTTACTTGAATTTTGGATACGAACTTGTATGGATCATAATGTTGTCAATATAAAAGATACAGTATACCAGATCCGAAGCCGGATGGATATACTATGCAAATGGAACATTTATATGATCTTGAATTTCCTTTTTCATTTTATTTTATGAGGAAAATCGATAATTTCAAAACAATCTATGAAGAGGAATTGGCTGTTTTACATCAGGAAAGTAATAAAGTTGATAGAAAAACCAATAAACTTTATGATTGAGTAATTGAGCATCATCTGAAAGGATTCAGAAATAATATTCTTACATCAGTACCTCATTTAAAAGATTCTCCTTTTGAGCGAATTTCTCTACTATATTTTAATGATTTATTACTGTATTTGCGACACAGTATAGCGAAAATGTCAATAAAAAGATTTATTTTTAAATTTGAAGCTACTTAACGGTGCTGATAAAGTGTTTCAACCGATTTTCCTTCATACTTATTGTTGGAAAAATGCAATTGGAGTATTAGCTCCAGAAATCATTCAAAATTTTGTAAGATCAAGGTAATATTACTGCTGAAGGAAGTTTAGGAAAGTGTCTTGTAAGAGAAATAACAAAAATGATGCTTCAGAGAATATACATTTAGAAACAGAAACAAACGCTCATTTAATAGATAGATGGAAACATGAAGTTACAAAAGTTCTTTCCCTTAGTAATAAGATAATGCATGTCAGATCTGTTCATATTACATGTCATAAATGATTTATTGAGACAAACTTTCCTTTAAATAGTATCATAGAAATTGCTCAACGTGAATTACATTCGAGGAATTTGTCAACATCGTACTTGATAAATTAGATAAATTAGAGCAAAATGAAAAAATTCGTTATTATGAGATATCTTGAATTAATTCCTATTGAATCCGATATTCGACTAAGCATTCATGAATGTGATAATTCAATGGATCTTTCTTAGCGAGGACAATGAAAATGGTAATATATTCATTACAATAATTACAAATGCAGAACGATTAGCGGTCAATTAGCTTGTAAAATAGCTTAGTGGTTGAAGCAACAATAAAATGACTTACGTTGCCTCTTCCCATAGTAAAATCGTCGTTCCCGTACAAAGTTATGTTTTTGTGTGCAATTGGAAAAAAGAGTCCAGTTTTCATAAGTCACGGGACGCTCGGCAAAATTGTTGCCGAGTTCTTTTTGGCAGGCAATTCAGATTTATATGATGTCATCATTTAAAAAAGCTTAAAACTAAATACGCGACATGACGCGTAAATTTGATCCTCACTATGAAGTAATTCGTAGATCGTTTATGTGATTATATAAACTCCCCAATTTCCATTTTAAAAATACAAAGTGAAAGGTTCTGAGAGCCGTTTTTAATTATACTTTTTTTTCCAAGTCAAGCCTTATACTCTAGATATTTCTCGTTTTTTTTTTTTTTATTTCTATTAAAAAAAATTGAACTTTACTTTTTTATTTATTTTATCTTTCGACGACTTACTCTATCTAATACCAGGTAATACTGAGTAGATTGTGACTGTTGAGTCTACTGTTTCTGTATGAGGATCGGTTATGTTCTTGCTTGCAGTCGAAGTAAAACTAGTTTTATGCTTGTCGTTATGTGCTTGGTAGTAAGAATATCCATTACGCCATTTACCGGTCACGAAACAAGAGTTGGTGATTGGAAACGCTGAATAGCCAATACGTTAGAGGAAAATGTGTTCTCTAATAGGAAGGACGATAATGCTCTATTCTATCACTACTACTGAGTGTGTAGGACGCCTCAGCGTTCCTAGTTCCTAGTTGGGGTTGCATATGATTACTTTTTGTTTCTGTTACTCACAATTGTTTAATTATTTATCCTTTTTCAATAGAGCTAATGATGGAAAGACCAAAACATGAGCTAGCTTAAATCCAACGAAGGACTTTTTGTTATCAATTTCAGTTACAACGAATTCGCAAAGATTTCACCTTGAGGTCACGTGTGATATCAAAGTCATCAAAATTATCATCTTTTTTTTTAATCGTTGGGATATTTTAGGGACCTGAGACCTTGGGCTTAAACCAATCCATCAAGTTCTTTATTCCTTGGAGATTTTCCTTGAACAATATTCCATACATCTCGATAGGTAACATGAACTTCTCGGGTATTGAATACTCCAACTTGTCTTTTATCATGCACTCCAAATTAACTGCGAAATTGTTGCGAATTTCATTTTGATAAAATGAAAGAGAAAAACTAATTAATTAATAATATTATTTTTATTATTTATTATCATTAATCTAATTTTTTTTTTATTTATTTTTTATCAAATGACTTCCTTTTCTACCTTTTTTTTTCCTCAAGATTCCTTTGAGCGCGACACATAAAAATAATGCTTTAAAATTACATGATAAACGTTGATGGTTTTTGTTTGTTTATTTCTCAATCCATTTTTTTTCAACAATATCTGTTTAGTTGTAGTTTGAAAATCCAGGAGTTTTGAATGTTTGATAACTTTTTTTCCTTTAATAAATTTTATTTACTTATATACATGTATATCAAACCTTCCTTTTAAATTGGGTACCCGATACGTTTCAACTATCTGCATATGCAGAAGTAATATATCACACATTACATTGACAATATCCCTCAACCTGTTAAGATCTCTTTCTGGATTACCTAAATCGGTCACGAACTCTTCCACCTCATAACCAGATTGATGATCTGTCGATACTAGCGCTGAACTAATGAAAATTCTAGAGGAAGCTTTAGGAAAATCTGCTCGATTAGATGCTATTATTAAGTCTTTCAAAGACTTGGATACAGATATGGCAACATTATGTTGTGATGTCAGTTCTTTATGGATTTTAAATTGGAAATATTTAATTTAGATTATTTGGATCATGCCCTTCGAGATTTACCAAGACAAGATGCACCAGGATTGCAAAAAATAACTGCTATCGCTTTACTTAAAGAACTTGTTCGTCAATTCTGCTTCAAAAAGATAAAAATAGTCCTATTGCATATGACAAAATTGAATTTGATGGTGCTAAATTAATCAATCAAATTAATAATAATTCTCTCAAAATTTACTTTTTTAAGAGATTTACGACAAAGAGATTTTTCAATGAATGATGTTAGGCGGTTTTTAATTTTTTTTAACTTTCGGTGGACTCGCCCTATTTTACCTTGGCTTGAAACTTTAAATTGGGAAGGTATCAAAGAAAATCGAATGCCTTTTAATCCATTTTGCGACTGCCTGAATATAACGAGGCTGAGAAAAGATTTACGAAATTCTATATTATGGGTAATAAAGCACCTTTCCAAGCATTCATACGAGAAATAAAACAAAAAGATACCTCATCAGCAAGATTATCTTTAATAGGACTTCTCATCACATCACACATCTTCATTATTTAAGGGCTTCAGGAGAATGGCAGCATCCAGAGACGCGATCAGCCGAGTTCTTGGCCAATGAAAATCGTTGGAATGAAAAACCTCCCAGTATTATTTAAAACGAGCGCAACAAATATCGTGTCGAATACTCTTCCTTTAGTTAAAATCAATTCAAAAATTAATGATACAGATTTGTTCTTAAAATCTGTTATTGCACATACAATCACACTTTTCGCTTCGGTTGAACCGAATAGCAATGTATTTGCACAGGATACAAGATTGTAAGGATTTGTTTATTTAACATGTGTTTCTGACTCAATATCTGCAGTATTAACTGAAGTTGCCGCTGCCGAGAGAATTACAAGATATATATGTGTATGTGGTGTGAAATATGTTATTATGGAGTATTATAACGCTATTACAACTAGTATATGTCCGATTTGAATTAATTTCTTTAATGATGGAAACAAATATATCGATTCAACAAATAAGAACATCCGTCGAACGTGAGATTTGGGAACTAGAATTTCATAGTTATATTGCGTTACATATTAGAAATATAACTGAAATAACGGCTAAGCATCGTATGAAATTAGACGCGGTTTCGACTAAAAATCAAAAGGATAATGATATTATTGAGAAAGAAATCGATCCAACTTTAGTGATGGATCAACAATACCGAAGTGAATATTTACCAAATTTATGGAGGACGATTGGAGTAATGAATTTTGAAAGTTTTCCATGCTAATTATATTTGTGAAAGAAACACGAATAACTATCCATTATTATTCAAACACGCTAAACCATTAGAATTGCTTAAACATCTTTATCCCATTGCAAAATTTGTTCAACTTTTGAATTCCAAACTTGGATGTTACTTGAATAGACAAAATGCAAGAGAAATGACTTTTAGGGAATTTTTAGAAAATGAGTCAAATAACTTTGAAAACCTTCATAATTCCTCTGATGATTTTAAACTTGGTTGGGATGCAGTTATTTCCTTTGTAAAACGATATAAATGTATTGTACTTCTAAATATACCAGTCATGGATGTTGAGCTTCCGGTTATTTTTAGGTTTAATGGAACCGAAAGATGAAGGGATTTTCTTATGTGCAAATTTAGAATATTTGATTGTTTTACAAAATAATTTCCTTCGAGAAATCATGGCAATTTCACCTGGGACTTGTTCAAACTCTTAATGAACCATTATTTGACGAACAAACAAAAGAATTGAAAATACCAGATACGCCTGATAGATATTACATTCGAACTATGCGCGCGGCCCGAAAAATATAACAAATTTTATTTGGGATGATGAAATTCTTGCATATAGTCAAAGAAATTTCGAAGTTGCCAGAGGGCAATGTATTGATTATGATTTTGCAAAAATTGAAGCGGAATTAGAAATATTTTAGTCATTGACAAAGTTTATATAGAAACGCAACCGGTGTTAGACCTGGAATCGTCTCAAACCAGGCTAACAAAACTAATAAACTTAATATCACAATTATCTCAAAGGCCTTTCCTAAGAGAAATTAACGATTAACAAATAAAATAATTTATTATCACGATTCACTTGTGTAGTAGGTTATCACGATCAATCCTATAATGAAGACAAGAAGAAGGTTGTAAGTGTAAAATAGTAATTTTGTTAAATTGTAGAGTTATAAGTCTAGTCCCAAGACTTATCTCAATCCCTGAGCAAAACTCTGTTGATTCAAGGTCAACTTACAG